TAGTGTCCGAAGGCACTACTCTCTAGCTCACACTAGGGTTAGACTACTTTTTCTTCACAATAGCCGGCCCTTATATACGGGGCTCGAAGGGGCGGAACCGGAAGTGCTCGCCATTGGTCCGTTCGAAGTGCTGACGTCACACTTGGCGGGAAACTAGGCGTGGATTGGCCGAGCGTCCGAGTCGCGTATCGATCGATTAGGTTCACGTCCCTAGGAACTGAGAGTGATAAAGAACGAAACGAGAGTTCAAAACAAAACTTCATGTCAACAGTAACAGGTAACAATGGTTAAAGCTTACAAAACATAACCACAACATAACATGCCCCTCCACGGAGAAAGAGTCGTCCCGACTCTTGTCGATCCCTTCTTCTTAGGGGTGTTTCCCCCCAGGCTTCCTTTTCCACCTTCTCTCCGGCGGGCTAGCACTTCTGCCCCTACCTCTCTGATGGCCACGAGGCTGCTGAAACGTGAGGTCCAGCGAGTGGCGCTTTCGCTCAGGATCGGGCATGACGAAAAAATTGGGCTTGAATTCTTCTTGCCGGCGTTTCGCTCTGGCCAGCTTTTCCTGCCGGCGCCGCTCTTTCAGCTCTGGCGACGCTGGTCCGAACGCTTTCAGCTTCAACACGTCCCCCACCGTGATCCGCAACTTCTCCAGAAAAAGTACGATTTGTCTGCCTATAAAGGAGCCTTCTTGTGTCGAGGATCCGTCCCCATGCAGACGGCGGGATGCGTGTGGGGCGAAGACTCCAGCACTTCACTGTAGTGGTCGCGAACCATGGCCTCAAAGTTGCGATCCTCCTTCGTAATGAACGCACAAACTCTGCGCATACTTCTCCCATGCGCGTCCATTCTTCTCTGTTATTGTCTTCGTAGGGGCTGGGGAAAGAATAGGAGCGTTCCGCCTGGCTGAAGATGCCGTTCCAATGCGACGATCATCTGCCTCATAGATCTTGATGAGGGCATCGTATCTGGCCACACTATTATAATGGCCGTCACAGTCTTCGTTTCTATCAACTTCTGAGCTAGGAGTTCCCAGCTCTCATATACATAAACAGTCATGTTCTCATCGTAGTCCACTTCGGAGTGGACTCTACCGAACATGAGGGTAGGCAAGAAAGACCCTCTGCTCAGCAATAGTCGATGCGCCAGCAGCCCGGACATCCTTCAACATCGATAGGGCAGTCGTGAGGTACGCCCCGACATCATATTTCACAGGCCATGGAAATAAGGCTGGATGCTCGAACCTGATCCCCATAGCCTCATCGACGGCTTCCGAATAAAGGTGGCAGCGACGGCGGTGGGCTTGCATGGCAAGGGCGAGACCGTAAGGCGTCATATATTGCGAGTTCTTCCTGCGCAACTCTTCTTCCTTTCGTTCGTCTCCCCAACACTCCTGTTCGGAGATGGATGCCACGTTCGCCAGCTGGAACATGTCTCCAACCTTCTTTGACCGAGCCATAGGGTGCGTCAGCGTCGGGATTGCTACATGTGCCATCTGATCGAAAATACCGCAACTGCATTTCCGTCGCAAGTTCAAAGGATGGTCCATCGAGATGAGAGTCCTGAAACAAACCACTTTTTTGGAAAGAGAATTACTGGAGTCAGCTTTTTCCTGGGTCTCCCTCTCTTTCTCCGTGTTGTGGTTGTCCTAAGGGGTTCATCTGACACTCCCGCTGGTAACTTTACCAGCATGTCAAAAGGTACCCTAACCGGGTCTCGAACCCCTTCTATCCAGGTTATGAGGGCGCTGTTCTCACTCGTTTCAATCACGCGATAAGGCCCATCCCACGGGTTTACGAGCTTTGGGTGACGGACGCCTGCTTCTCCCTGGGGGCCTTCATGTACACTCGGTCACCGACCTTCGGTGGCTTCAAGCATACCTGTCTGTTACGATCATATGCGACTTTCATCCTTTGCCGCATCTTATCAGACTCCTCGCGTGCATATTCACGAGCTAGTTTCGTGGCTGCTGTTAGTTCCTGTGCGTAGCTCTCTACGTCCACGACATACTTGCTAGGTTTCCACGGGCACTACAGGGATCAACGGCGCGTTGTGCAGAAAGTAGAGAAGGCGACTCTGTCCGTTGTCTTCATGCGGCTACTGGTGTTGTACGCCAGCACTGCAATACGGGAGCATGTCTATCGCCACTCGTGGGTTAGCCACGTGACCTTTTTCCTCAGCATCTGAATGAGCGTCTGGTTGAATCTTTCCGTCAAACCATTCTCTCTGGGATTGTACCCTTTCGTGAAAACGTGGTCTATACCCATCAGTGTTTTGAGCTCTTGCATCAGTCGGTTATCGAACTCGCCTCCCTGATCAGACAGGATACATTTCGGGTGACGACTTCCCTCAGCGATCCACCTTTCAAAGAATACCCTGGCAACCACCGTTGCACTTTTTTGAGGAGAGAGCGTATGAACCTGCCATACTTTTGAAAAGTGATCCCACCCACGCTGACAGTATGTAGGCGATTTCATCAGTCGTCGTCCCATGCTCAAGAATGTCTATTCCCTATCCAGTTCGGTATGGACTAGTACGTTCCACTTATTGGCTTTAGCGCAGGCGTCATTGGATGCCGATGATTGTGACAGAGACATTCTCGACATTCCTGGGACCATTGAGTCACGTCCCGCTTCATGGTCTCCCAGAACAGACGCTTCGACAGCTGCTTAACCAGCTTTTTCGGGCTAAAATGTCCTGCCAATAGTCCCGAATGTGCCTCTTCAAAGACTTCTCTTCTCTTCGACGACGGCACAACTCTACGAACTGTATCGTTCTCTAGTAAGCCTAGGTAGCCATTGTCCATAACAAAGTCTGCCACTTTGAACTTTTGGGACATCTTTGGAATGACGATTTCCTCATCCAGATTCCCTGCTTCCAGGCTACCTATGATCTTGCTATACGTGGGATCTTGTCGTAGTTCGGTCGTCCACTCGGGCTCCTCCTTTGTCGCTGCTACAATGATTTCATTGGTGATCTCCTCACCTTTTACTTCCTCATTTCAGGGTAGCACCGCGACTTAACGCATCCGAACAACACGGGCAGCCCCTTTCAAGTAGACGATCTTGAGATTGTATTTTTGCAGTTCGAGCGCCCACCTGAGTACTCGTGCTGACACGTTTGTTCGTCTGAATAGAGCTGTCAAAGCTGGTGAGTCAGCTATACACTCTCATACCGAACCCGTATCACAACATGTGAAAACCTTCCTCAGGGCAAAGACCGACAGCAAAGCTCCAAGTCGGTGACATGATAGTTCTTTCTCACATCGAGACAGACCCTTCGACGCAAAGAACACTGGATGTAGAAATCCATCGTCACCTTCCTGACTCAATACAGCTCCCAGACCTTGGATACTTGCGTCAGTATGAATTTTGAACGGTCTTCTACCGCTCCTCGCCGCTTCAATATCAGGTTGCGCTAGCACTGGCGCCTGCATTATTATTGCCTTCAGCTTGTCAAAGCATGACTTCTTCATGGAATCCCATTCAAATGCCACTTTCTCGGACGTCATCTCATGGAGCGGAGCAGCTACCTTAGAGAATCCCAAAACGAACTTCCGGTAGTAAGAACACATACCGAGGAAGGTTCGTAGGTCCGAGCGCGATTGGGGTAGCGGGTACCTTCTAATCGCTTCCACCTTGGCTGGATCCATGTGCAACCCATCACAATCTATTACGTGGCCCAGGAACTCCACTTTCCTTTTCCAGCAACACGCATTTCTTTTGGGTTTCAACCGGAGTCGTGCTTTTAACAGTTGCTTGAAAACCAGTTCCAGAACTTGGAAATGCCTCTCTACCGTTTCTGTGGCTACCATGATGTCATCCAGGTAGCAGAAGACTTCATCTCCTAGTAGAGGCTCGAGAACCGCATGCATCATGCGTTGAAATACCGGCGGTGAAGATGCGAGCCCGAAAGGTAGTACGCGAATGGTAGACTCTTCCGTTGTGGGCAACACGCCGATTTCTCTTTGCGCATCTCAGAAAGCTTCTTTTGCCAGTAAGCCTGATGACCAATCCAGGTTGAAAAAGTACCCTTCGACCCTTTAAAAGCTCTGCAGATTGTATCTTAATCGTGGCAGTGGCGTGACTCTATCTTGTCACCTGGTTGAGCTTACGATAGTCTACGCAGAGTCGAAGTGTTCCGTCCTTCTTCTGAACCAAAACGATGGGTGAGGCCCAGCTCGATTTACTTGGTTCGATAATCTTTCGCTCATGCAAATCGTGGAGAATCCGTCGGAGCTCCACGCGAGTAGCCAGTGGTATCGGGCGAGGCTTTTGTCGTATCGGAGGTGCCTCACCGGTGTCGATGTTGTGTTCCACCAGCGTTGTCTGAGTAAGCTCTTGCTCGCTCACCGCAAAGACTTGAGCGTAGCTCTTGACGAGATTATCAACCTCGTCGCTATTCTCTGTATTTGTCCTGTTGTCGCGGAGCAACTTCAAAAGTCTGTCTTCTCGGTCTGTAGGAGCTTCCACTGTGCGCCCCAACATGTCTCCCGAATACGTGACAGGCTTGACTTCGACGACTTTCGCGGGTTCGAGGGTTCCCACCTCCTCCCCCAGTCGGAAGATCTTTGCTCCTGCAAAGGTGTTTGTTACCGGCACCTCAACTGCCTTCTCTCCACCTTCCCATACGACATCGGGAAGTAAGTGGTCCTTAGACCAGAAAATTCCTCCTTGGGTGAGGTCTTTGCATTGAATAGGCACCGATCTTGATTGTCCTGGAGGTATGTACACCCTTTTCGCAGCAGTCACTGAAAGAGAGAACAGGGTGGTGTTTACCTCCAAACGGGACAGTAGGGGCTGTTTCTTATCCGCGATTCGTTTTACACTGCTTCGCTCTACCGTGGAGTGCGGAGAGGCCACACGACTCTGAGCAGTTTCGCTGAGCGAGGTCATATCCAAGTGGCCGCAGTGCATTGGTCCCAAGCACCAACATGCCGTCTCCTCCGGCCATGACAAAGGCAGCGATCCGCTGCTTCTTACCGTCGCTCATCTGCAGCGTCAGTCTGATCGCTCCTTTGAAGGGCCGAAGGACATTCTGTTGCACCGAAGCCATCGATACTGCTTTGCTGGTGGCGCGAGGAACGGAATCTCTTCGACGTCGGCATCCAAGTCAAAGCCGGACTCCAATGCTGCCTGGAGTACTTGCAGTGGTATGATGCTGATTTGCGAGCCAGTGTCCAACAACGCTTTGCGTGAAGTGCCTAGAAGATGCACATCCGTGGTCGTTTGTTCACCGACCAATTCGCAGTTGTTGTCGACCTCTACTGCTCCACATATCCATTTCCTCAGAGACGCGGTAAAAATTCTTGCCGGCTCTGCTTGCTGAGCCGATCTGGTAACTTTTTCAGTAACAGTAGCGTTCTTCATCGGCATCGTACAGTCCTTTTTCAGATGTCCTTGTTTGTTGCAGTTGAAACACTTTCCGACGGGTCTCCGCTGAGCCGTCGCATCGCGGACATCGAGCTTACTGCTTCCACTCTCCAATGTGTTCACAGTGGTTTGGACTTGCCGAGTATCATGACTGCGATCAACTTTACGTAATCTGCCGCTCTGGCTCTTTCGAGCCTGACCTTCCATGGCGTTACGCATTGCAGCCGCTACTTGCTTACTCCTTTCACATCTTTGTGCCATGGCTTTCACCATGTCATACGCCTGCTCCTTCGGAGCTATCTCCATTGTCGTAAAAAGTTGGAGGTATTCTGGCCAGTCGGTTAGCTGGCTCACCAGTTCACCTGCCCTTGTGCGGGGACAGCTCTTCTTCCGATGCGTCTGGATAGGCCTCTCTTGACAGCCTTTCCAGTTCCAGGCAGAATTCTGTTACGCCTCCACGTTTCTTGAGGTGTTTCAGATCCAAATACGCCTTCATCTGCATCGCCGAATTGTCCACAGCAAGCTTTGCTCGCAGAGCTTCTACAAGGCTTTCAAAGTTTCCCTCTCTTACGAGCTTCGGTAGGGATTTCGCTACCGCTTTTGGGTAACCTTGCAGTTTAGAGAGCAACAGTTGGGTGAGCAGGTCATTCCGTAACCCAAGGCTCTGGTATTTCATCGTGAACCTCATGATGAATTCATCAAATCCCTTTCCTTGAGGGTCACTATACACCTCCACTTCGGGTAGGGCCATAGCCGCAAATATGGACCCCATAGCATTATCGGAGTGGAAAGACTCACCTCGGCTTCGGCACGGAATCGACGACGATTGGCTCGAGTCCCTGGTCCTCGGCTTGCACTCGGTCGTCCTTTCTTGCTGCAAGAAGGTATTCTCAGTTTTTCCGCTGAGACTTGCAGGCCTTCTGCCTAACCGAAAGGTCTTACCTTGCGCCGCCGCCACTGGATCAAAATCCAAGCTGGTACTCCACGTTGTCGAAGTCGCTGACATTCAACTGTTCATACACTATCGGCGGCGCGCTTGTGCTGCATTCTGCTCCAGCAGGCTGACGAGGCTCCTGCAAAAAAAGAGGATTAGAATGCTTCACGATACCAGCCTTCTCTTTTTCAGGCTTATTTAGTTTTCTCGTCGTCAGTGCTACGTGAGTTTCCCACGCCTTAGCGCTCATAATCACTGAGAGCGCTTCAGACACCACGGCTTTTAGTGCTCGACCCTCGACTTCTAGCTCCTTGAGGTTCTCCAGCTCCCGCTCAATGAGGCTACACTCCTCATTTATCTTGAGCTTGCCGTCTCCTCGAGCTGTTTAGTCGACCGCGTCGAAATTCCTTGCACTAATTCAGCCGGAATCTCACGCAGACTTTTCAATGACTCCGCGATAGCCTCTATTGAATTGCGCACCTGTGTGCCTCTAGCCGTTAGGCTATCAACCTTCTTCAGCAGGCTATCCAGCGATTTCTTCACTGCCGACAGCTGGTCTGCTGTGGTTTCCTCACTCAGGAGCATCTCCTCCAGTTCTGCTGGACTTAGTCCTGTTTCTCCTGCCATCACACTATCTGCAATAGTTTGATGTTCACTCACTCGAATGCGTTTAGACACGCTTCGAACAACTACGCGAATCCTTCCGCTTACAGTCAGTGTACACTCCCCGACCAACGATGACAGGGCCCGGACACGCCATTACACGTGACGGGTCCCTGTTTACAGTCAGGAGGTACACTGCCTATCAGCGGCAGGACTCGCGCCTTAGCCGGTTTTAGCGGCCTAGCAGGCGGACACCCGAATCGATATCGATTCGGTTTGGTTCGGCCCCCAAGTCACGGATGCCACCTCGGCCCCGTGGGTTGAAGGCGAACTGACAACCGTTTGATGCAACTATTTATTTGAACCAGAGTGGTGTCCGAAGGCACCACTCTCTAGCTCACACTAGGGTTAGACTACTTTTTCTTCACAATAGCCGGCCCTTATATAGAGGGGCTCGAAGGGGCGGAACCGGAAGTGCTCGCCATTGGTCCGTTCGAAGTGCTGACGTCACACTTGGCGATCGATTTAGGTTCACGTCCCGGCTAGGAACTGAGAGTAATAAAGAACGAAACGAGAGTTCAAAACAAAACTTCATGTCAACAGTAACAGGTAACAATGGTTAAAGCTTACAACACATAACCACAACATAACAAGACGGCCATCGAAGGCAACTAATCTAGTCCAAAAGTCTCGCAGCGCAGCGTGCAAAGTCCGTATTGCAACGTAAGCGTTGGAAGTTTGACAGGGCCTTCACATGAGTTGGCAGAGGCACTAGATCGCAGAAGATCTATGCAGTGCAGGAGACAAAATAGTCCAGTTGTGAATCGAGAGACATTGGTCGCGGTTTCGACCATTCTTTGTGGAGAGCTAAAGGTTACTAACGGTGCGGCCATAATCGTCTGACGACGTTTCCGTGAGTCTACAGCTAGCGTGAAACGTTTCGACGACCGTTTGATTACGATTGTTCTAGCTAACCGATGTACCACTTCTTGCGTAGTATGTGCCGAGCTATCAAAGGACTAATTCTGGTCCGTCCTTGAGGAGAAGGCAGCTGAAATAACGTTAGAACCCTGCATTTGTCGCTGGCGACTTTAGCGGTTACGTGGGCGCTAAAGAAGACGGTTACAGTTTTCGTGATGGCTTCAGTTGTGGGAAACACAACCACGCCGGCGAGCGCATCCTAGAATAAGCAGGAGCCCTTGACCCCCATCGTGAACACTAAGTTCCATGAACGCGACGCCCACCCGATCACCTTCTACAGCGGAAGTGTCAGAACACAGACAGACTTTGATCTTTTTAGACATCGCAATCCAGGAGCTTATCACAGACGCGAAAGTCGTGCCGTATGAGACAGTAGCCTCGCAACATCGCCCGCTTATCTGTACGCTAAAGATAACACCGCCCAGGTCGAAACAGATAGAGCGATGTGGTCCCGAGAGGATCAAATGGTGGCATCTAAAAAAAGGAGGCAGCTGTGATCTCTCGCATTCGATTACCAACCGTCACAACTGTCGATGAAACATGGAAGAATGCCGCCAAAGCGATAGTTCAGGCCGCTCGCTCTGAACTTGGCACAACGAAACCTGGAAGGCGTAGAATTGAAAAGCAGGCATGGTTGTGGACAGATGACGTCAGGCTAAAGGTTCGCGAGAAGAAGAAGCGCTATCACTTGTTTCCTCGAAGACAAGTCAGCTGACAACTGGCGGAAATATCAGGAAGCGAAAAGTACGGCAAAGAAGGCTGTGGCTGCTACAAAAGCCGCTCACTTCGAAGAAGTCAGCAAGAAGCTGGAAACGCGCGATGGCGAACGGCACATTTACCGACTTGCCAAGCTCGTCACCGCCAGACCGAAGATGTGGAGAAGTTCTTTGGCATCAATGACGAGAAGCGCCTCGATGGACCGAACAAATTTGCTGAGGCGATGGCGCGACTACTTTGAGGAACTTTTCACAGTGGAATATACACACCCGGCCATACATTGCGCCTTACCAATA